TTTGCTACTGCTTCATTCTCCGGTTTTCTCACCGGTTCAGTAATGCAAGGGCATGCATCTTGTCTATTATTCCAAGGGAGTGTAAATGCTGTCATACTCGTTGCAGAGGCTCGCTGTTTGAATGTAATTAAAGAAGGTGACCCCTGCCATGTGCAGCACATGATTTTGGAGAACTTCACCTCTTTTTTTTTTACAACACTATGAAGACAGACACAACAGCACAGTGGAGGGCTTGAGTCTGAAAAACATCTGCGCTGTCAAGTGCTGAAGGAAAATATTTTCACATAAGTGAATAAAGCAGCCAGCAGAGGCAGCCAGATGAGCATAAAAATATTAGAAATTATAATTACATAACAATTGTTCATGTAATTGTTACTGATTATCAATAAATCACGTGACAGACTAGCCACCATAAAATCCCTAACAAAACTGAATAGAAGTACAATTAAATACATTTTCCAAGAAATGAAATGAGCCTTTGAATGAGCTTCTGTACTTTCATAAACATTTAATTCTGATTAATACATGTAAAATATTGGCCACTGATTACTCTGAGTGTGTAAACCGGTCTGTCCTGATAGAGAAGTTGCACAACAATGAAGTATAAAGTGAGTATAGTATATACGGTGTATGAAATCAAAATGCCTCCAAGGATGGGCCGTAAAGAAGTAGATGTTTGGGTGGATTCCGGAGAGACAGGTGGTTGATGAGTGCTGTGTTCTTTTAGTGCCTGTAGAGGGCGCCCTCCGCTGCCTCTGTAAAGACACAGAGGAGAATTGTGCAGACAGAGACTTGCAGAAAAGCTTCAAATACAATAGAGAAGGGTAGCAGTGTGTGTCTGTGTGTGTTCTCTCAGGTGAGAGAGCGTTTCTTTTTTTATTCCCGCAGCGCGAGCATGTTCCTGTTTACTGGCACGATTTGTGCGTGTTCTCTTGCAAACTGTGCCGTGGAGCAGAGAGATTTGAAAGGGGAAGAGGGTTTTTTTTTTTGAGGGAATGAATGGTGGAATAAGTGGATGGAAGAAAGACGAAGTACAAAGAATTTTCCTTTTTGAAGTGCGAGCGCTGCGTCCCGCCTTCCTCCGATGTTCTAAAAAGCTGCAGAAGAGATGAATTTTAATGTAAATGCAGCTTTGATTTATTCATAACTGCTTCACTTGGACTGACCTGGATAAAAAACAGCATACACACCAACACTCATCTTTTTCCTTTTTTTTTTGTTCTCTTTTTTCTGCTGTCTGGGAGAGACACAAGCAAGGGCGAGCCAGTGCTTCCTTCTGTACTCAAATAGTTGTGTGTCAGCAACATTGAGGACAAAAGAAGGAACTCAGAGAGGGATCCTGTCGAAGACTCCGGGTTCAGCTGCTGAAATGGGACAAAAGATGAAGATGCACTGTGACAGACTGCTGCTGTTGCTGGGGTCTATATGCCTCTATATAAACATATTACCATATATACCGTAATATGACCAAGCACAGTCAAATATCAGGATGAAAATGATAAAAATATAACTGCACTGATACATTTTCAGCTCTCAAAGGCCAAAATCTGAGAAACTCTTGTTTGCATTCAGAGCTCTGTTTGGTTATTGTAGTGTTAAAACAAGCAGGTTTCTCCTCCCTGCAGGGTCCCGCGTTGCCACTGATCATTATGCACCACACACAGTGAACTACCACTGTGTTATTGATGTACTACCACTGTTAATGCTGTAATCAGTGAGCTGATAGACACGCTCTGGTGCCACCTAGTGGGCACAAGGACAGAAAATACATCACATTTCTGTGACACCTCTGGAGGAAAACTGTGTGTGTGTGCGCCTGTCTGTCTGTCTGTCTTTGTGTGTGTCTATGAATAACACACACACACACACACAGAGGCGGGGGACGACGGTGTCAGAGAGAGGCTGTTCGCTGTCCGTGGTACTGAAATGTTTTGGTTCAAGTGTTTTGACCTGCCACTGACGTCATGGAGCCTCAAAGCGACATCCCATTATTTTTTAATCGCGTATGATTCATCCGCTGCCCCCAAGTCCTTTTTTTGGATCCACTAAACACAGACAAAAATACTTGAAGAATGAATAGGACTTTTATTTCTTCTGAATAGTTTCCAATCAAGAATTTAGGTATAAAAATAAATACGGTAAATGTAGTCAACAAATACTACTTGTACCGATAATGTGTTTATTTTACATTTTTATTTTATTGTGATATAATAGCTTTTATTGTGAGCCTTTTTGAATGCAGCCACACGCATATTGAATGAAAATCAAGCTATTTGACAGTGAGATAAATTGTATGCAAAGTTGACATTTGGAACTGACAGTGATGCAAATGGTTCCTCTCTCTGGGCGCTCCAATGTGATAAGTACATTTCATCAGATTTGGATATTCGGAGATAAAAAAGCCTTGTTGTTGGCACTGCAGGAAATGTTGGACAGTGTCTTTAAGGAAAAAAAAAAAAGTTGATTCAAGCACACATTGTTCCTGAGACTTATTAATAACAGAGTATCTGGAGGGAATTGCACTTTTCCGAGCTGATGAATTGTATCCCTGATGTGACGGGGGGGGTTTCC